CTTCAACTCCCAGAATTCCCCAGCCAGCATGCTGGCTGGGGAATTCTAGAAGTTGAAGTCCACACATCTTAAAATGGCTAAGGTTGAGAAACACTGGGGTAGACTCTTCCTGTTGTTTGCCATCTCCACCCAAAGGGATAATTCTGGTTTTCATATTTTTGTTGAAGGTTTCTTCAGAATACTGCTGTTAAAAAGACATCAATATTGCCATCTTCTGTGGGACAGGCTGTGCTACGGTCTTCAACTCCAGGAGCCGAGTTTCCTAAAGCTGGAAAACTGTCCAGCCCCCAAACCCCAAGACTTGGTTCAGGTCTCTCTGAAGGGGATGACATTCTCTTCTTCGATGATTTGCCACCTCCATCCCCCAAACTGAGCCCCATGGCAGAAGCAAAAAAGGTAATAGAGTCTTTGACTTGTACTCCGTATGTGCAAAAAAGCAGAATATAAAATGAAATAGTTTCAAATCATTCAAGAATACCAGCCACTTTGGCATCGCAATTTGGGGAACTATAACTAGAGCCCCAGATGGGGGAAAGGAGTTTTAAATAGTTTTTTCTACAGTTAAATTCCATCAATAATAAAAGCTTTGCCAATCTAGAGTTTTTTAAATTTAGGAAACAGAATAAGACTTAATGAGAACAGTATATTTGGGTTCCCTTCTACAACATACAAGTTCATATTTGCATAAATTTTTTTGCAGAACTGTTTAAAATATGGTGAGGATTCTTATTCTTTTTCCTAATATGTAAAGATGAGCTTCTCGGGGAGCTACTTCAAACATAGTAGTCTGAAATAGCTGCAAATGATTCATCCCCAAAGAAGTATTATCCAGTTCCACTACATGTTAGTTTTGGTCCATCTTGGATAAAATTGCCTCTCAGATCAAGTCTGAGGAGGCATGGTGATGGCGTGCGCACATTCGCATAATTTTGTTCACAGTGATACAGAAGTGATTTGCCATTGCCTTCCCCATCCTAAATTAACAAGGCCTTTTCCCTTTTCTGCATCACCAGCAATCTAGATGCCTCTTAAACGTGAAGTTCCAACAGGTCTTCTGGTCCTTAGGTTGCCCTAACTTACATCACAGTGAGAAATCTCTGCTGGACTACGTGAGGGCCATGCTGTTTAGAAAGCCAAATTCTGTGCCCATCCAATCTTCTGGAGTCCCACAGAAATTTGAAGCATGGGTGGCTCCAGGGTTGAACATGTAGTAGAAGAACATTTCTCAAAACACATTACACTGAAGGATGAATTGGTTTATTAAGAGCGCTGGAGGCTACAACATGCTCCAAGAGTGGTGGGATTATGGCCCCTTTTATAGACTTATGAAAATGGATCCTTTCATTTGATTGGTCTTATTATAATTACAGTTATATATTGGTTACTGTCATAGTAGACTGATTAAACTACCTTTATGAATTGTCTCAGTTAATAATAAGAATATTCTTATTAAAGCAGCAAGATTAATGAGAATGTCTTTCCATATACGATAAAGGCCTTTACATAAACAGTGAACCATCGAATGTATCTTAAATTGGTTAGTTTTCCGTAGCCACTATCTAAAAGACCTTGTTCCCCGCACTGGCTGCTAACAATTTTTGGCCATTTAATAAACTTTGTGCTGATTCTCCAAACAATGTGTTTGGTTTTCATTTGAATTACTTATTATATATTAATTGGGGTTCCTTCTAAAATTCCCCCAAAATTTCTACTTGGAAGATGATGGAGAATGAGATCCTAAACAGTGCAAAGCTTTTTTTCATGGGTCCTCATTCAGGAATTAGAGAAAATGTAAGATATGTAGCACACTTTGGGTGTTTTAGATTACCTGTTATAGTCTATGAATCTCAGATTTAACTTGTCGGAAAAGTCTGTGAATGTTGAACATGTACAACTTTCAGAAGGTATGGTTTCTGAATATATTGTGTCCATCAGTGTATTGGATGTAACTTAGGTTTGGCTTACTGGCTTTTCACACAAGGCTTAATTAAAATTGCTGACTGTATTTCTAATGTCTTCCTTTTCTTGTGTTAGATTGCAGCAATAAAGAAATTGCGTGCCAAAGGCCAGATTCTTTCCAAAGTAGATCCAAACAGTGTCAAACGGAAACGATCAGATCTTGATGTTCCAGGGATTTCTGAGAGAGTTGAGAAAAATATCACTGTTTCAGAAGGTATGGAAAACCCTGAACCTGATGATGGTTATCAAACTAAACATCACAAACTCACATTGAAATTAGTCACCTAGTTTGTATGCCAGCATTGGTCTCCAAGATCAAATGCCAGAATAGCTCTCCAACTGAGCAGTCTGGGGCTTAAAATTGCCTCCTGATGTAGCACAAAATGGATAGAGAGGAATTCCATCCAGATCTCTTGTTGGAACAAACGTGTCTTGCTCTCTTGCAAAGCATGAGAGATTTCTTGGATGTGTAAGCACAGGATTGAGGAAGCAAAATAGAATTGCTGTCCTGCCTTCAGTCACATCATGTTTTCATTTTCTGCTTTTGCTGCCTTGTTACTCAGTTTAAGCCTGTTTCCTTTGTAATACTTGCATGACAATAATGAAGATAACCAAGATGTCGCACCCATGTCACCACCATACCCTTGGCCACCAAAAAAAAAAAAAACTAGGAAATTGATGCTCCTAAGCTATGGAAAGTTTGCCCTGCCACTCACTCGCCCCATGCCTCTGGTCTAGTGGGCACTGATTTTGCTGCCAGCAGATTGATTGATTTTGAATTCTCTTGTCTTCGCAATTCAAAAAAATAGATAAAGCCTTCTTTGAGGCCTGCCCAACTCCTGATGACTTCATAAACACATCCGCACAATTTCTTTTTGGCATGAGACAGTAGTGTTTTGCCATTGCCTTTTTCTGAGATGTGTTTTCAACTTCCTAGACCAGCCTATAATTCTAAGGTTTTCTGGTTGTCTCCCATCCAAGCACTAACCAGGTTGGATTCTGCTTAGCTTTTTGAGATCAGCGAAGGAGAGCTAGATGCTGTCATGAAATTAGCATATTAGAAAACCTTGTTCCCAAATCTAGGATAAGAAAACTGTCCTGATACAAAACAGATCTCTCACTTTCTTTTTTTCAGTGGCATTCAGTGACTAAGCATCCTGGTTGCCATCTCTGAAGATGGTTCTGGCCCATGAGATGTCTGACAAAATAAATGAAAACCAAAAATAATTGGTTTTCACTGAAGTAGTCTCACAATTGCTATGTTGAGTCAGATCAAAGACCCACCTAGAAAAGTTATGGTCTAAAAGTGGCTGTTCAGATGACCATAAGGAAGCTTCTAGGAGGACTTAATAAAGCTTGATATGTTCTGATTTCTTGGTCTGGATTAGTCTAGACAAATGG